ATCTTGACAATATTAAATGACAATTGGGACCATTTCTTGCTGTGCATTTAATTTCCAATTCAGAGTTTGTGATGACATTAAAGCTATCATATTTTTTTTCTGAAAAGCCTGAACCTTGTCATTCCTTTATACATAATGTATTTTCCCTTTTTAACCTCAAAACCATTTATTAATTTAAAACTATAGTACCCCATATTAAAATAGATTTGAAGGTTCTCTTTTAAAAAAAGAAAAAAATTATAGAATAATGGTAGTAATAGTAATGATGAAAGGGCAATTTCATGCACTATATACTAGAAACTAATTTTCATTAAAGATTCAGATATGTTACAATTTCTTCTTTGGCGGTGCCATAACTAATCCCTCTTCCCACTAAGAGGTCACTTAACTGTTTCAAGCATCGTTGGTTTTTATTACTTGAGGGATTTGGCAAGATGATTTCTTAGTTCCATTATACTGCCAGAATTCCTTGCTTACCCTCTATATGTTTGCTGTTTTTCAATAAAGCAAATTATGAAAAATTGTGTAGAGTCTACACTTATCTACTCACACATGTAAGCTGTAGGTAGGGAAGTGAGGGAGAGGTAGAATTTTAGAACTAACCTCTTAATGGATGTAAGCAATATCTTCCACATGTTATGGTTTATATCTAAAAAAATTATTACAGTTATAAGCAGATACACCACAAATGCAGGAAAGTGAAGATGGAGAATATAATTCATTTGTTTGCCCTGAAAAATGTTAAGTTTTTATTAGCTTTTATTATTAAATATATATTTAATACCAATGCAGTCCTAAACCTAGCACAGTATTGTTAATAGGGAGTTAAGTAGGAATGTACTTTTTGGTTTCTTACCTCTTGTTTATAATGTTTATTCCATTCTCTTTAAGTATCAAATAACGCAATGTGGACAATACCCACTTAGTGATATCCTAGAAAAACTAGTTGCCTTTATTTCTTATATGAGAATGCTTGGCCAGTTAAAGAAGTCATTTAAGATGTCTTTAAAATGAAAATAATATGTATGTATGGAGTACATTTAGCTAATCACATTTACCACTTCAAGTATACAAAGCTTATTGCCAGTAGTTGTATGTTAATAGACATAGTTCCAATGTGTATCCTTAGTTAAATTTTACCAATTACACATGATTAAATGTTCCTAACATACTCCAGTAAGGGTCACTACACTTTGCAACTACAACCTTCACATCAAGAATATAATTTTTTGGCAAATATGAGATACATGCAGTACAGCCAACGGCTAGTGGCTAAAAATAAGGATTTGAATGTATTCTAAATTATAATTCTGCTATCTAACATAAGCAATTCCACTTTTACACTATTATTTTTATTTAATCGGTAATATTTTCGAATATATATGATAAACTGTAGATATTAAGATTTTAAGAATGCATTTTTATCTACTGCCAGTAACCCTGAACCAATATAGTAAAATTTCAGAAGTATCTAAATCAAATAAAAATATAGTTTCAGTCAAAATAATGCTAAGAATTACTATATTAAAATAATAAACTTATATATAGTAAAGATCATAAATTCAAAAATAAATGGTAACTGAAAAAATTATTGGTAACTTGTAATCCTGGCAAAGAATTATTGCACCAATTATATAAAGAACTACTAGTTGATAGGTTAAAGAGACTAACAAAAAGAATATAAAACCAAGGGCCATGAAGAGTCAGGAAAAAAGAAATATGCATGAAAAGAATATTTGAAAAACTGATCAATTACGCCCATAATAAGAGACATGCAAATCAAAAGTACACAGAGATGCAATTTTTCACTGATTATATTTGCAAAATTCCAAGATTTACAATCCCATCTGTGGGCATTGCTTCAGAAAAATAATCACTGTTACACATCGCTGAGGGAGGTGCAAAATTCTACAACACCCAGAGAGGCGGACCAAGTAAGATTTACTGATCTTTGAGTCAGACTCTCACTTCTAGAAATCTCTCCCACAGATATACCTACATGTATGCTAAATGAAGCCTCTACCGGGACATTTGTTACACTCTCGCATGTAATGCAATGAAACAACAACAATAAAAACAAAACACCAGGGTTAATGAACATCCATTAAAATGACTATTGAGGAGGAGTATACCAGTAAAACTGGTGAAGTAAAGACCTCCAAAAAATTCTCTCCTCCATAAAGGCAGTGATTAGTGACAGATTTTTGTTGCAATAATTTCCAATAATTATCACAACCACTAATGTGACTAGAAATGGTTACAGGTTATGGAGTCCTTCCCAGTGAATTACCACATTTGATCATTACAATAGGCACTGAGATTGACACTGTGTGAATAAAGATGAAACAGTCCCCTAACCTGCTTTGAAAGCGTTCACAGGACAGCAGGTAAGGCAGATGTCCCAACCGGAGGCTCACGGGCATGGCCTGTAAGCGACCGTCAGTAAACACTGCAGGCCTCCCAGGCTCATTCCCTCTCGCCACTATCAGCTCTACCACGGCAGGTTAAAAACAGCCTCATACGGTACCTAAATGCATGAGTGTGCTGTATGCGAATAAAGCATTGTTTATGCAGACTGAAATTGGATTTCATATAATTTCTGAGTGTCACAAAATATTATTCTAAAAATGGTTTTCAACAATCTGAAAACAAAACTTATTCAGTACGCAGGTAAAACTAAAGCACGCAGCTGGCTGAATTAGGCACGGAGGCTGTAGTTTAAATGACCTATGATCTAAACCATAAACCAAACTTTATAGCATACTTGAATTAGTAATAGAAATGTCAAACAGTATTTCTCAGTTTTACATGTAAGGAAACAGAAGTGCAGGAAAATAAATAGACTTGCCAGTTTGAATACAGATAATAAGGAGGGAGGCTATAACTCAGACCTAGCTCTTCAGTCACTAATCATTATTATCTCATGAAGGCAATGAGTCCTCTCCAACAACAGGTGTGATGTATGGCAGCCCTTTCTGGGTGTGTGACATCTTAAATAAAATTACAGTCTTTGTTATAATGGGATTTACTCAAGACTGTTCAACTTTTGCAAAGTAAAAAAAACAACCACTAGACTACATGGTCTATGTTGTTTTCACACGGTATTTAGAAAAGAGAGAACTCTTTTGTTTCAAAACTGTAATGACATTACCATATAATTTGTTCCGGGAGTAAAGGGTTTACTTTCTAACAAATGGGTTATTATATCTTCAGTATCCTAAATATTCAATTATTTAAAAATAAATTTAACAAGTCTATGAGCTCAAATTCATGATATATAGTCATATGTTAATTATGCTATTAGATCTCTCATGGCCATTACATTCTGGAAAAATTATGGATTATCAAATATACATGCATATATTTGGAATATATATCATCCATGTACATGCATATGTATAGTTATACTATTCGCTATTAGAAATGGCCTATTTGCCATGGTCATGGCCTCAGCCACATATAAATGTCTTAGTGGTAACATATATTGACCAATGTCACAAAATTAATTCCTTTATTACAAATCCAATCATTGACTCAGAAAACGCTAAGAAAATTATCATCAGAATCGATGAGAAGTTGATCTGTATCAAAACAGTTAGGTATGAGTTTTTATCAAAAGTCCAGCAAGTGTTGTTTTTTTTGTAAAGTGAAATACAACTACACATAAAAAATTAAGATGCAGAACTCAAGGATGCTCCTGAAGGAAAAAGAAATCTGTTCTTTTTCTCCCTCCTTTTTAAGGATTATAGAAAAGGGACTCTGAAGTTCACAACAAAAATAATTTTCTAATAATTCAATATGATATGCTTTCACTTTATACGTGTTTCCATTTACTTTATGGGATACTTTGTAGGGAAAACAATATACGGAAAGAAAATGAGGATTATTTTGGTCTCATTTTAATATGCATATAAGAGAATGATAGAATTGTTTGAGATCTTTTTGTGTGTGTTCCACATTCTGACTCCACAGCTCCTGTCTTGTATGGAAAATACAGCTGCAACTCAGTCCCTCTTGGACAAGGGGTGCAGCAGATGGCTTGTGATCTTGCACTGCCTACGCATTAGGGCAGCACCATGGCTTGGATTGGGTAGGTTTTTCTTTTTTTTGGTATGTTTTTTGTACTGACACTGCTAAAGTGAATATAAATAGTCTAGCAGGGAGATGGGAGTCACTGAGCCTGCAGTCATAGAGATTCTACCGCTGTGCTTGCTGTTTCTGTCACAGGTACTGAGCTAACCTCAGTGTGGCTGCTTCCAAGGATCGATCAGTAACGCATCAGAAGACCTCCCCACTTCCCTCTCGATCCTTCACCCCAGAGCCTAGATGACCCATTTACCGGGCACACAATTTCCTAAACAGTTTGATAAGCCATTAAGTTGTCTTGTCTGTGGTTTTGAAAGAAAGTAAAGTTGGTCATTTGATCAGTTTCATTTTTTTGGAATATAACAAACCCTGTACATCAAGTATATATTTAACTTATATTTAAAATAGATAAAAAATTGTATGGAAATTAACTTAGGGGTTAGAAAAATATCCATGTGCTTTTAAAGGCTGATGAATTCAAATCCAATCTCTGTAACAGAAATATATTAAATGTCATGATATAGCATTTTCTTTTTAGTCTCATGTGCATTTGCAATAAATTTTAAAAATTATAAATATCAATGTACCAATAAATGACATTGCGAATTCCAACATACCTACATGGTAATAAAGACAAAATTACTTAATTGTGTGTTCAATTAAGTGTTTTCATTTTGCATATGAGAACAGAGAGAGCAGCTGCTGGTAAAGAACACTGTTTAGGGAGATGTGACATGATTGGTAAAGTTATTTGTTTCAACCATTATTTTGAACTGTGTAGCATAACCGTTAGCATTCCATGAAACAATTCACTTACCAGTCCGCATCTCTTCAAATCCAACTCCCACTCCACCCTCATCTCACCTCATAATTTCCCAAAAGTGGGAAAAACAAAACAATCAACAAAAACTTACCTTTCCAACATACTGTGGATCGGGTCCCATATGTTCTTCTAAAACAAAGAACTGATTCCAAACCCATCCCCTCTTGGGACGATGGTGGACTTCGGTTTCTCCTTCAATGTGCTTGGTTTGGTTTCGGGTCACCTTGATGGAGCTGTGGTGGGCAGTTCCATAACACCTCTGCACAAAACAGAGACACACGAGGACTGGACAGATGCAAGATGTGCTCGTAATTTTCATTGTAAGATAACTTCCCAGGTCACAGTTTTCTTTCTTTTCCTTGTCAGCTACAAATGCTTAGTGAGCATTCAGGAGAGAGGCCAAAGCATCCTTTAGAAGGACAGTCCAAAGTAAGTTGTTTAGCGTGTCCATGATTTAACTGTCCACCAGGGAAAGGTCAGACTGCATTTACATCCTGAAAGGCTTCAGAAATTCAAAACTGTAGTTGTCTGATTCTAAGCCTTCACAGTAGGTGAGCCCAGGCAACCATTTTTCTACCTAATGGAAAGAGAGAAAATTATATACATAGCAAAACACCGTAGTTTTAAGTATTTGCTTTGAATGCAAATTATACTATTTTGCAGGGTGATCCTGATAGGCAAATAATGTGTGCAAAGTCTTTTGGAAATGCATACAAACATACATACACACAGTCATGTATAAGCCTATACAGTGCACATATGTTTACATGGACCTTCCTATCTATGGTGCCATTTTTCAATATACATTTAGAATAAGTGCACATTGAGGACATTCACATGTTTCTTGAAACACAAAAAAGCAGCTCTAGGGAGTGTTTAAATGCTCCAAATCTGGTGATGAGTTTGTGCGCATGCCTGAGTGTAGTATGGCTGCTTGCAATGACCTATTAGGAACTCCATGCTAATTACAAATTTTTTTTTTATTGTTTTTGTTTATTTAGTTTTGTTAGATGTGATAAAAATTTACTGCACACTAATTGCCTGCTACATGTGACTCACTGAACTTCAACAAAATACTCCCTAGGGTTGAAAAACTGTCACAGACCATCACAAGAATCCAGAAGGTGTTCAAGCTGTTTAGTTAGTAAAATAAAACAGAAAACAAGATGACTGATAAAATATATAAAATTGAAAGTTAGTCCATGCTCAGAGATCAGACTGGCACAATCAATTATGAGTGAGAGTATCAGTTGGCTCAATCATAGCTTGCATGGATTTTGATTAGCCTGCAGATAATCTATGGTGCAGTCTTTATATACAGGCAAGACAGACACTCAAGCGTGGGAGTGACACTACACATAATCCTAGCAGCCTTGTAAGGAAAGGTGTGAAGAAGAAAAGACGGTGGCAAAAAGTACAGAGAAAAGGTTTTGATTTTCAAATGAAATGTTGCAGACAGGGACTTAGGTTTTAGTACAATTGAAAAATAAAGGAAAACCTGGGAAAGATTACTGGAAGACAAAAAAAGGTTTGCTAGAAAAAAAAAAGTTGACTGACATTAGCTTATTGAAAACATAAAACTGTGTAGCAGGTTCTGCTGCCTTTTTATATGTGTGCATTTCAAAATGTTTAGAAAAATTATACTGATTGAAGATTATAGCCACTCCACCTTGTAAAAATATTAGATGAATCACTTTCTCATTCCATTAAGTTCACCCCTGTGAATCGGTGCAAACCGAAATGGGGATCTAAGTGAATCACAAAGTGGTTGATACGACAATATAAATTATTTTAAAAACTGCGTATAAATAATCAGCCATCACATAATTCTTTTACACAATTGGTAAAATGTTTATACTGAGTAGGAAATGAATAAAAAAATCACATGAGACAGAGCGAGGCGCTTTCCCATCAATATGCTTCTCTATAAATTAGGGTTAATAATAACGCTTACTTCACCAGTTAGGCAAGTAGTATATTGAACAAGAATCAGGAACTCATTTTAATCATCTGGCAAGTAAAAATTAAACTTTGTAATACTTTTTGAAAGCAAAGGTTCATTTTCCACTGACTTAAATAAGTGACTTAAAACTCTCATTACATAGAAAAAAAGAGAAATGTCATCCTAGTTCCAATATATAAAGAGCACTGAAAAATCAGAAGGCATAGGTCTTGTCCTCCCCTTTTTTCTGACAACTGACTTACTATATGTACTTATGCGAACCATCTAATCTCTTCAAGGCTCAATGATCTCATTTACTAAAATTTGTGACTTAAATATTTTAATAGTCTTTCTAGTTTATTTAATAAATTGTTTGGATTATCTTATATTGAAGTTTTCCTTCTTAATTATCAAAATATTCTTAACTTTTAAGTAACAAATTTCAAAATAAGGCACTTTAGTCTTTCTTCTTAGAAGTAAAGATACATATATAGAAGGTGTTAATCTTAATACTTTCACACCACTTGGTGTGATTGTTAAATGGAATTAACATCTTTGCTTTTTATGCTAAGTTGCTTAACAAAGCATAATTCATGAGTAGAAGGTGAAGACAGTGGCTTCTGTAATACATTACAGAAATATAGAATGAGTGCTGTTGTTTTTACAATAATGATCTCGTGTGGCACTCAAAAAGTGTATAAATTCATTTGAATCTATATATATATTACATGTTTATGAATCTCTATTATGAAAATTATGAAAAGTGATAAATAAAGCTCTGTAGAATGAAAGAACAAATATAAACATCATTATTGTACTTTTGAAAGTAGTTTCATTTACTATATGAGAGGACAGACTCCACATATGAAAATGTTCTGCTCTGCTTCCTTCAGGAAATCCATCCCTGCATAGGTTAGAAAGAATTAAAATGTAAATAATAAAACCACTGGTTGAGACTAACACTATAGAAATACATTATAGATTTTTGCCATTTCTTGACTAAGGAGCATTTAAACACCCTTCCTGTTTTCACTTCAATATGTGAATTCTGATTACCAGACCCCTAACATTCACCTCTGAACACCTGGGGACCAGATACTTTTAATTTTTTAATTTGAAGTTGCATCTGTGACACACACATGTTAATCTCATGCTCCGACACCCTGGAACAGATGATGGACAGATGTAGGGAAAGGTGAGAAATGTTTCATAGCAGTGGTGAGGGTCTCAATGCCCGGATGTAGTGGTGGTCAGTGCAGCAGCTGTGATGGGCAGAGGTGAGTGGCAGCTACACAAATTGAGTCATTCTAACGACACAGTTTCAGTGGCAAGTGCTTGACATTGGTTCTCTCTGCCTCACTTCTATTTGTTTCTACTCCTCTACAAATCTAATTCTTCAGGCCCCTCATCAATTTTGATGGCTATATCATATTCTTCCAAATAAATGTATTTGCTGCTTTCCATGGCCAAGCTGACTTTTGTTGGCCAAGAACCTTTTCCATAAAAATCATTATTGTCATAAAACTCAAAAACAGAGAGAAGTATTTCCAAATAAAGGATTACTTGGAATAACGTGTAATGTCGACCTCTCCCCTCTACTCAGTACTTAGTCTCGGTGATGCAACATTGCGGCCAGAGATCAGTCCTCTTGCTTCTGTGACTATCCCCTCTTCAGTAACAGAATGAGTGACACTGTACTTGGTCAGAAACATGACCCCAAATGTTCATTCTGTAGAAAACTATCACATTTTTATGAGCATTTTATTCTCTGAGTTTCAAAATTCTCATTTATGAATAAAGATTTTTATTGAATTATTGTTAAGCATGTTCAGCTATGTGATTCTTTGAATTTATGATTTAATAACTATGCTTCATTTATAAATGACTTTTCTTACACTGAGTTACTTACATCATCCAAGATTGAATATCAGCCATTTATAACTCTTCAGTACAGTCTTTCTGTCAGAGAGCACTGAAGAAACACGATTCTCAGAAAAAGGTTTTCCATTTACCCCAAAGGGTTGATTGTAACTTGATCCTTTGACTGAATTTTCTTACCAATGTGTTCTTAGATTATACATTTGAGACTCCAAAGTGTTCTAGAGAATGTCTTATGTTTGCTTTTTAAAGAAGTTTCCTTTGTTTCTTTTCTTGTTTTGAAAATGTCTTTATTAAAAATACTTTGTCAATTTTATTTCATGAATGTGTCATTCCATTTTCCATATGTGTGGGGTGACATATTATTTTACATATTGAAAAAGCTTAGAGTTATAATTGCCGCAAATTTCTGAACACTAGTATTATACATTATTGGTTGGAATTATCTGACTTTGCATAAAGCATGCTTAGTTTAAATAGAAAATGTCGAAAGAAGACAGTATGATGGGAAGTCCGTATTTTTTGGAAGCACTTTCATGGTGAGATATATGAGGATACCTAGTATGGAGAAGTGCATGTCAATGGGAGTGTGTTGCTTCATGCACAACTGTCAAATCTGTAGATCCATCAGATGAGAGGCTGTTCTTCATGAGGACATGACTCATCTTGAAAAGAATGAAACTTAACTTTTCCTTGATGAATTATTAAAATCCATCATACTGTCAGGAAGACTTAAACATAAGGAAATTTAAATTATGCTTGAATTCTGATGTGCTTATATGTAAGGTGAAAGTTTCAAATCCTTAACGGAAGCCAATTTTTCAGTTTAATACATAATTATTTATGATTTATCCGCATGTATGCATGTATGTATGTATTTGCTTACATACGTTCAAGAACGTGTTCTAAAACTTTCAAGTTATCCTTTGGATTGGTGATTACGAGCCCAGCAACCACTGCTTGCAAGATGCACTCTCAGGTATTTGTCTGACTCAGAATCTGTGGTTTCCATCATTTTCAGATCCAGTGATGAACAATATCAGTATCATTTGCTTGTTCCAGATCAAGTTCTGGTTCAATTTCCAATGATACTGACTCTGAATTTTTGTTTTACCTTCTTGGCCTTTACTCTTTATTTTTAACATTTTCTCCTTAAGTTTGTATTTTTCCCCTCTCAATTGATAATTTATATGTTTAATAATTAATTAAATTTGTCTCCATCAGTGTCAGTTGGATTAAATAACTCTTGCTTACAGTCAAATTCCAATACTCGAAAACCACGTGGAGTTGTAGAAGGCTTCACCTAAATTTGATGCAATTTGACTCCCAGGTTGATTTCCAAATCAATATTTTCACTTTCAGTCTGAGCATTTTGGGACATTCCCATAGCACAAAGACTTGGATATAATAAATTGCATTTGATTAAAATATATATATTTACATATATTTAATTACATTATAATGTGGCTTTCTCTAAAATATAATGAAATATCTAAACAATAACAAGTCAATTAGGTACCATTAAGTTTTGCATATTGCATTTTTCTGCTGAAAATATCCATTTAAATTTCATGGAGACAGTGATGAAAACGTCACATGCGTTGCTCCTGAATGGCTCATTCAATGCTGTTTTTCTTAAGAGCCTTACTATCCAAACTCTATTAAGTAAAACCTATCCTCTGAGACCCAGGCTATATTTCTCCACAAAGACTTCTATGTTTTAGAGACAATTCTCTTCGGGTTTTCTGTGTTCTTCA